CCGCCACGACCATCCTAATCATCGGTAGGACCACAATCGGCGCACGAACTGAAGCCAACTGCAGCCATCACCACCACGACCCCTCCAGGGCTCTCCTGGGGGCGTCCTCTGGGCCCCTTGGCGCTGTCTTGGGAGCCTTTTGGGGCTCTCTTGGAGCCCTCTTGGGCCGTCTTGGGGCTCTGATGAAATATCTTGGGGCCCTCTTGGGCCGTCTTGGAGCTCTCTTGGGCCCCTCTTGGGGGCCTCTTGGCCGAATTGGGGATCCCACTGCTTCTTCTCACATCCTCGTTACTCAGTGTTCACTTCTCTTCGCCTTTGCTCGTTTCCTCGCCCTTCCTCCCCTCGTCCTTCTGCGCGCTTTTCCTGCTCAGCCTTCCCTCTTACTCCTCCTCGTCCTGATCTTTTCTGCATCTTCCCTCTTTCCCCCTGCTCCTCCTCCCTTCCTCCTCCTCGTCCTCCTTCGCCCTCCCCCCCGCGTGGATCTCCGCTGGAGGAGCCTCTGGAAACTCTGGGAGGCCAGGTTCGCCTGGGGCGTTTTGGGGGCCTTTTGGCGCCTCCTTGGGACCTCTGGGGGCGGAGGGCTTGAAATGTTCGTAGGGCATCCTCTCTGGGCCCCTGCTTGGGGCCGTCATGGGTCCCTCTTGGGCCGTCTTGGGGACCTCTTCGGCTAGCCAGGGGCCCTTCTGGGCTGTCTTGGAACCCTCTTGAGCTGTCTTGGGGCGATCCTGGCGGCCTCTCGGGCCGTCGTCGTTCCCCTGGAAGGGCAAGCGGCGAATCCCTGAAACATATACGTTTTCCGATGGGAGCGAGGCCATTTTTGCATCTTGGGGCCCTCTTGAGCCAGTTCTCAGTATGTGTATTTGGATGGATACCCAAGGACTCGTGCTCCTTCGTCGCTTCCTTCGTCACCGATACCTGGGTGTTCGCAGTCTTCCAGCCGCATCCGCGGACAGGGTCACGGAGACGATCTTTTTCATCATGCAGATTCCGACTTCGACAACGAAGCTGTGTACATCTCTGGCGGAATGGCCAGAATGGGCAAAGATACCAACTCTGGACAGGAAGCTGGAGACCATCAGCACACATCCAGAGTACAGTCTTTTTCGGGATCCGCTCAAGCTCGGGGCAAAGTTACCTACAGCCCGCCTGTCTCACCACCGCCTTGTTCCTCAAGATCTTCTCGGGATCGTACTTCTACCGTCGACATGACCAACCTCACCATAGATAAACCAAGTCATGCAGAAGACTACTCAAGTACACATACATATGCACAATATTACCCCCCTTCCTCCATGGGGTCCGCCCTGGCGTTCTTGAATGTCTCTGGAGACATACACAGTGGGCAGGGAGAGCGGGCTCTGGATCCTCATTCAGACAAAGTTGCCAGCACCCCTGGTCTTCACAATTCGTCTGGAGATCGTACTGTGCAGTTGGGATCGGGCACAACACTTGTTACCCACGCTACCTGGTCTTCTACCTCCTCCTCACCCGGCATTCGTCCTGCGCTTGTTCCGAAGCGTCGCCGCGAACCTCTGGCAGGGCAGTCGCTCGGGAGTTGGAATGTGGAAGGTCTTGGCAAAGATATGGAAAAACTGCCAGAACTGCAACGCCACATGGAGCGCCATAACATCAACGTGCTCTGCATGCAAGAGACAGGCATTGCCGCGCATGCGGAAGAATTGGATTCAGGGTATCTTATTATTCTATCCGGCACTTATCAACCTCTACCGGCTGGTAGATTCTTCTCCGGAGTGGGTTTCTTGGTCTCCCCACGCGCGGCCAAGTCGGTTATTAGTTACAAGTTTATTTCGAACAGGCTGGCCATTCTGAAGCTCAAAGTCCGTGGCGGCGCACTTCATATTGTTACCGCGTACGCTCCGCATGCAGATTACGACTACGAAGAGAGGAGGGAATTCTACGACCAGCTCACAAAGTGGTGGCCGGCACCGACGAGACACAGCTGTACAATTGCTTTGGGGGATTTCAACGCTAGGCTGTACGACCGTCAGCCTGGAGACTACGACGTCATAGGCGAGTTCATCTTTCGAAGTAAGTGGCCTAAGCGGCGCAAGTATCTGAATAGAGATTTGTTGTTGGAAACATGCAGAGCAACCTCGAGTGCTGTTGCCAACACGTTTTTCGAACACCCGCCTGAAGAGTTGGTGACATACTATGGCACAGAAGTTGACAAGACAAGTGCTGTGGGAGAAGGTTTCGCTCAAATAGACCATTGTTTAACGAAGCACGCAACAATTGCGAAGATATCAGATATTTGGGCGGATCGCGGATCAACTTTAGCATCCTGGCATTTCTTAATGCGCATGTTATTGGCCATCGAATTCGACATCGTGCCGCAGAAGCACAGCATAGGCACAAAGTACAGCAACCTGTTGATGAACGACAAGGACATGGCAAAATCTTATAGCCAGCGGTTCTGCGAAGCATCTCTCGCGGCCGCAGAAACGGCTAATTTGAACGCACATGCACGCCATATTAGATCTGCAATGGAATGCGCTGCAGAAGCTTTTCAACAACGCGGGAGGGAACCTAAACGTCCATGGATTCCAACGGCCACGCTGGACATGTTGAACAAACGCGATCAACTGCAAGCACAAGGGGTGACGGAGGAATTACAGAAGCTGAGCAAACGTATCAAAGCATCCGTGAGGGCTGACAAAAAGAACTGATTGGAAACACAATTGGCTGGAGGATCATGGACAGTAGTTCGCGCACTACGGAAAACGCCCCCAAAGCGGCCTGTCCGAATTCAAGACAAGCGAGGACATATTGTGGATAGTTCCCAACGTGCAGATACATTAGCCGATTATTTGGAAGAAGTGCAATGGAAAGTTCAACATGCTTCTCTTACGCCGACTGGGCACGAGCACATGGGACATACACTACCGATTTCGACTGATACTTTCAAAATGAAGGAGCTGAATGCCGCATTGCGGGCTCTCTCGACGGGCAAAGCGGCCGGCATTGACGACATGCCCCCAGAGTTTTGGAAAGCATTGTCAATGTCACAAGAAGCATGCGAAGAATTGTTGATATTCTGTCAGAGGTGTTGGGGCGAGAGAGATATCCCAGAGGAGTGGCATACGTCATTGGTGGCACTACTACACAAAAAGGGGGACGCAAGCCTCCCAGAGAACAACAGGCCAATTTCTCTTTTAACAATTGGATATAAGCTCCTAGCTTGGATGATCCAGAAGCGCATCCAAAATGGCGGGGCAGAGCAGAGAATACGTTCGAGCCAGTTCGGTTTCCGCCCGGGCAGAGGCACCGCGCAAGCCATCAGCATCGCACGTCGCATGTTCGAAGCTGCGCAGACAGGTAAAGCGCCAGGATTGATTGCAGTATTTCTTGATTGGTCAAAAGCTTTCGATCGAATTCGACATGATGCTCTTCTGGGTGCCCTACGAAGATTCGGATTATCTTCTGACATAATGCAGCTGATTGCGTCCATTTACAAGCACAGAAGCTTCATCTTAAAGGATCCTGCAAGGAACTCCCGCCAAAGGACACAAGCCGCAGGGGTCGCCCAAGGGTGTCCGCTTTCTCCTTATTTGTTTATAATTGTACAGAGCGTCGTGTTCTTCGACATAGACAAACGAATGGCGAGCCTGCACGAAGATATTGTGGAACCGGAGTGTCTAGTATGCCGTGATCTATTATACGCTGACGACACAATGCTCATCAGCAGCGACTCCGGGAAATTGCAAACTTTTCTGGACATAGTGATTGATGAAAGCCGAAGGTACGGATTAGATCTCAACTGGGACAAGACTGTATGCATGCGCTTGCATAACTCCGGTATAATTTCTTCACCAGCTGGCGCTCCGCTGAAAACCGTTGAGCAAGCTGTGTATTTGGGGGGCCTGCTGAACGTCCACTGCGTAGCTCAACCAGAAGTGACAAGAAGAGTTGGTGAGGCCAAAGCAACCTTCAAAAGCCTAGCCCGGTGTTGGTCGCACGCCAACATCTGTCCCCGCAGAAAAATTGACTTATACAAAGGTGTCGTGTTGCCGAAGCTGTTTTATAATTTAGAGACTTTGTGGCTGTTGCAAGCGGACAAAAATCGTTTGGATAGTTTTCACACTCAATGTTTAAGGCGAATCCTCAACATCCCTAGCGCGTATGTTTCACGAGTCCCCAATACGGAGATTCTGGACAAAGCGGGGGAACTTCCATTGAGCTGCACGTTGCGCGAGCGTCAGACGGCGCTGTATAGTAAAATTGTAGCGTTGCCGGAAGACCACCCTCTCAGACTTTTAACATGTGAGCCAGGCACTGGCCGGCCAAGAAAATGGGAGCACCAGCGACGCAGGGGGAGGCCTAAACAGCAGTGGGCTCCTTGCGTCTATGCGCTTTTGCTTGCAAAGGGGATGTAGCCCTGGTCCCCTTCCTTCCCCCCTCCCCTCCCCCCGTCCCTTCCCCTTCCTTCCCCCCCTTCCCTTCCTTCCCCTCCCTTCCCCTTCTCCCCTCCCCTCCCCTTCCTTCCCCCCTTCCTTCCCCCCTCCCCTTCCTTCCCCCCTCCCCTCCCCCCGTCCCGGTCCCCACTTTTCTTCACAGGTGGAGCCGATACGTTCTCGTGGAATTTCGTATCGCATTCGTCCGGCGACAGCGGGCCACTTCACCCCAGGCCAGGCTCACATCGCTGTTTCTGCCGTGGACAATGGTAGATACGTATTGTGCTTCACAGTCGTGGGGCGCTCAGCTTTTCTCTGCTTCACAGTCGGGCGCTCTGTGCCAATTGCGCACGTTTCTGTCCACACGCCCTGCCGGAAATCTGGCTCAGTGGCGGCAGTGGTGCCCAAGAGCCGTACCAGGGCTGGCGCGTAGCTTCTGCATTGCACTGTATTAACTTTTTATATGCCAATGCGCCGTGCGAGCGCCACGCTTGACTGACTGACAGGAGCAGAAGGGGAGGACTCCGCTTTCTCCTCCGCATCCTTCTCCTCCTCCTCCTCCTCCTCCTCCTCCCCGTGCCCCGGCGCCCATGATGAAGTTCTCGTCGTCGAACGCGCACATGCGCTCGAACATCTCGTCTCGGTCGACCTTGTGCTGCAAGCCACCGCCGCCGCCCACTGCAGGCCACGGGTTGGGCCACAGGCCGCGGAACCCGTCGTGGGGCGAATTGGCGAGCTCCTGCAACCCCCCAAACCTCATCCCTCCTCCTCTTCTTCCTCCTCCTCCTCCTCTTCTTCCTCCTCTTTCTTTCTCCGTATACATAACTCCTCCCTGCTTGTCGGAAAGGCAGACTGGGCGTGTCGCCTGAGACGTCCCTACCACTTCTGATGCTTGGGCTTCAAAATTGGCAACAGTTTCACCGATGGATGGCGGGTCGCTTCCAAAGTATGGCCCTCGCCTTACCGCCCCGCACATTCGGTTTAAACATTTGGGCGAATCTAGCGGGTTGGTGACAGGTAGTTTTCAAACTGTGGCTCTCGCCTGAACGCCGCGTGCTTCTGTTTAACAAATTGAAAGAGATTCGCGGATGGAAGGCGCTTCCTTTGCAGCATGTAGCTCTCGCCCTAACGCCTCGCACAGTCGTCAACATTGGCAACAGCTTCACGGATTCTCACGGTTAGCATACCAGAAGCAGCGCATTGGAACGATGTGGGATTGCCAGGGCGCAACAATAACTTGAATCGCCGTGCTGACGTCCCTGGAATGGTACTGTGGCACGATTCAGAGTCGTCAAGACGCAGCCGTAAGGTTGATTCGTTGCGTCGAAGTCCTAAGGATGGCGCTCTGGCACGATACAGGATGTTCAAACGGCTGTCCCCTAACGGGGCATTTCCCTATTTCAAGGGGCCTGTGAAGAGGGAGCTTGGAGGGGGAGGGTCTACTTCAACCTCGTTGATGAGTCTTGGGTTTACGCTGGTTTCCCTCCTCTTGCTCCTCCGCCTCCTCCTCAGCATCATCGTCATCGGCATCGTCATCATAATAATCATCATCATCCTCATCATCATCATCAGGACCACCATCATGGAAAAAACATACTCCGAATCATCACCATCATCATCATCACCATCATAACTATCGCCAGCATCATGATCACCATCATCATCATCAGATACGACCATCATTGCCCACATCATCTTCATCACCCTCACCTTCCTTATCACCGGAACTCAATAATCACCACCAGCACCATCACAGCCATCAGCATGACTAACATCATGGTCATGGCAATCATCAGCAGCAGCATCACCATCACCTTCGCCATCATCATCATCATCACCATCACCATTACCAAAACCAACACCATCATCATCATCAGCATCACCATCAGCATCATCACCATCACCATCACAAGCACGATCACCAACACCATCATCATCATCACCATCATCAGCATCATCATACCATAATCAGCAACACCCATCATTAGCAACGTGCGTATCATCATCATCAGCATCACCAGCATCATCAACATCACCATCGTCATCAGCATCAACATCATCGCCATCACCATCATCATCATTATCATTGTCAGCATCATCATCATCATGTATTTCCTCTGAGAATCGGGGTAAGACGACAAAGGAAATAATATATCATGTTCACTCTGCTCAGGGAGAGAGAGGACGGGATGAGACATTGATAAGACAAGTATCCGCTAAGCAAGACTACTCGATCAGGAACGCGAAGGGAGGAAGCCGGCTGGCCTGCGACCGGCGACGCACAACGGCCGAGGGCTGGCGCGCTCCTTTTCTCTCCTGCAAGCCAGGGTTGGCTTGTTCGAGCAGTCATACAGCTGCGGAACGCAGCTGTCAGCTCCAGCGGACAGTGCGACGCATGCAAACTAAGTTATGTCTTAATTTATTATGAGGCGGAGAGGAGCCTATTTACTCCCCCCGCGGCGGGCCGCGTAGAGCCCACCCAGCCGCAGCACCCCTGGCCTGTGAATTTGCACAACCACCAGAGCCAACCCGAAAAAGCCTTTACAGCTCAACGGTGGCTGCCAGGGGGCCAAGGGCCGGAGGGGCTCGACGTCTCCAACCATTGTGGTGAATAAATTCTCTCCGCTGGGCCGGCTTAGCCGACCAGCAGTGGTGTCCGCATCCAACGCGCGTTCCGCGCGTGGGTAAATTGTTTTGCATGCGCCTGCCGCGACTGAGTCGCGCGGGCGAAACTCAGTTCAGGTCCTTCCACGGGTTGTGCTCGTTCTCTTGTCTAGGCGGCGCCAGAGGCGGCGGATTTGACAAAGCCGATCCCCCCGTCTGTACTTCCACGCCACAAGGCGTGCGGGACCGCCCTCATTCTCTTTCAGCGTCGCTCATCGGTGCTGTCCCTCTCGGCGGGAAGCGGAATCCGTGCTCCCATGTTGATAGCTGGTGCCAGTAATTCAGAGTGTACCACTCAGCGTCGGTAAGCCACGTGACCCTGTTCCGATGAACGTAGTAGCCAGCGAGGGTTCCGTTCGCGTAGAGCGGGTAGGACCTGGAAGGGTCGCACTCGTAGCTGTTGCCCGCAGCGCTGCTGGCAGCGTCCGAGGCTGCACCTGCGGCAGCGTCCATGGCCGCGCCGGCAGCAGCATCCATGGCAGCGCCAGCGGCAGCATCCATGGCAGCATCGCGCGCGCGTCGTGAATCCGACCGATCCCCCATGCTGGGATGTCGTGGGTTTGTCTCCCTGGTCATCACGGCTGAGCCAGCGACTGAACGCGGGGGCCCGGTAGCTTCTTCGGGTGCCTGAGCGTCTGAGATGCCAAGTCGAAAAGGCGGCGGGCGCGATATAGGTCAAGCCTTTGGTCCAGCCGGCGCATGTGGCCCCGCGGTTTCAGCTTCGCCGTCGTGTTCAGGATCATGATTCCTACGGTTGCTCATGAATTGTATTATACTCCTGGCAGCAGTTGCTGCAGCGACACCATATTTTCCGCATGCAGTGCGGAAAGGTCCATAATCTTTGTCCTGGAGCCCAGCACCAGGGTCAGGATATTTATCCCGGAGCCAAGAGATGGCGCCCTGTATTAGAGCACCGTGGCCAAGGACGTCGTTCTGTACCTTCCTGCCCATCTTGTGGGCCCACCAATCTATAATATCGTCCGTTTTGACAGCCGCACGAATGCGGCAGTCCAAGGCAAACTCGTCGGTCCGTCTCTTCGAATCAATTTCTTCCGTGCTCACCATTTCGGGGCGAATGATTCGCCCCGGGTAACCAATCAAGTGATCTTCCGATACGAAAAAGCTGAGTATCTCACGAACAATTGCGAAAATCCTCATGGGCCGAAGGCCCAGTTGCATTTGTTGTACTGGTACTAACCAACTGTCACGTACTATGGTGTGGATGATCTCCGGGATCACGTATTCTGCCGTTTCGGTCAGGGTAACCCTGCCGGGGCTAGTAGGGTTTATTCCCGTGTGTTCTACTACGTAATGGGCGGCATTTTCTCGAACTTCTTTCCCGAACAATCTTATTCTGATTGAAGAATCGTCGTGGTGAAAGTATACGTGTCCCTCAGAATGGTCAAGAGTGAGGAATCCGTCAGTTATCAACGCGGCCTTAGGCCCGCTGATTGCTTTGAGATCCAGATCCATTTGTGACTGTTCGCGTGCCATCGCGGCTGCGACGGTGGCATGTCGCAACACGGGGACAATAAGACGATAGTCCCGACACATGCTAATCCGTCGTGAAACAGACTGAGAACTGCGAGTCGGCCTCGCTCTAAAATTGTTCCCCCAGGCGACTGGAACCCTCGCAGGAGGGTTGTTGTTGTCGGCGTTGTTTCCATTATCCTCATTCAATACGCCGAACCAGGGTCTGCCAAAATCTACCGCGTCATCTATTGTAGCAAGTGTCGGAACAAAGATGCTGGCTCTAGTCATGTTGGCGAACCATCTTTCCCATCCGATTCGAGGAGTGACTAAGTCATCCTCTTCATGGGGCCAATGAAATGCCTGCAAGGCTGGGCGGGATCTCGGGCGATCGTACTGGTCAAACTTAGTTTCCCACAATCTCGGCCACCAGGTATTAATGGGCGGGGTTTGCCTACTTACGTTTCTGGCTGAATATTCAAGCCACGATATAAACCTTTTGACCAAAGGCTTCAAATATTGGAAGAAAGGAGCATGTCGCGCCGGAGGCTGAGCCTCGGCGTGCGCTGGGATCCAAGCTGGAAAATTTCCAGGCTGGCTATTGCCAAATATCGTGCCAGCGGCCGCCATTGTAGCAAATTGCCCGGAGGCCCATCTTCGCTCCTGCTGATTGTTGTTGCTGACGTTTTTCGTAACATTGGCAGAAGCCCTCCCTTGCCTCTTCATTCGCGCTTGTATATATTCGTGGCGATTCCATGATAGAGTTTCTTCATGCTCCACTGCTATGAAGAGGCCGTGTGTCTCAAGGGACTGAGTGCTAATTTTGCGGTTTCATGTCTGGGTCATGCAATCGTGCGCGACCCTGTATTTGTATTTGACTGGGCAATTGCAAACAGGACAACTGGCAAAACCTGTCCTCACCCAGTGGTATCGGCAACAAAAGAATCTCCCGTCATCATCCCACGGGATGGATATAATTCGAACCTGGATCGCGGTCTCCAATCTTGGCCTGTGATTCCAATCGATGATTATTCTCTCGTCTGTATGAACCCAGGCAATAACCGACTCATTGTCGAAGGTGACCTCGTATGAAGACAATTCGCGATTGAAGAGTACCGTCCAGCGCATCTTATCTGCCTGTCTCAAGGGAGACGGCTTTGTCGATGTCAGTGAATTTCGGCACTTCTCGAGACACCAAGGTCCCATCTGGGCGAACTCTGTGCGAGTAGCGGGTGAGCACTCCGTCGGTAAAAACAATAACAAGATCCCATTGCTCATGGTGAATGAGATTGGGGAGACGTGGCCATAGGTGGTGGGTGTCGTCTGCGGGCCAAGTCCCCACCGATGGCGGCTCCCCGCCCTGAGCTGGGTTATTCATGGGTACTAGAGTTCTCGCAATGAGTGGCTGTCCATATCTCCGTTGGCTCAGCCACGGAGGAAAATCTGAGGGATCAGGCATAGTTGGGCTATTGTGTGCCGGAAGCAAACGCAACAATTCGCAATCTGCGTCACGGCAAAGCCCAGAGTCGCTCTTTGGGAAGCGAACACTTCCACTCGTGGATTCCAAACATGTCTGTAAGTCTGCAACATGAAGAAGAGAGCTGT